ATCAAAAAGTAGAAAAGAAGAGTAAAGGTATACCCCCTGGTGTCATCAAACATGGCGCAGGCTGGAAAATCCCTAGAGTTTGATGGCAAACTTCCCAGCTATGAACCTCCATTTAGGTGGGTATTGGGTCCCAGCTAGCTATGTTTGATGACCGGGTAAATCTCCATTTTGGCTGGTTGAAGCCGACTTTTTTTGGTTAAATCACAGCTTTTTGGTGAACCAAATGGTTCTCCCATTACTTCCCAATTATATCCGGATAAGAATCCATCAATCCCCTCCTAGAAAAAAACCCATGATAAAACTGTCTAAGGAGCCCATAAACATCATTTTTACGTAGGTCGTTTATGATTGCAAGTTGATTGTAAGTTGATTGTAAGTTGATTGTAATAAAGCAGTACTCCATTAATCTCCATTAATCTCCATTATCCATCATTGTCCTCAATGATCATCAGCCCCCAGGGCACTGGCAGCACCGCAGCAGGCTCCGGGCTTCGGAGAATCTGCGGGATGAACTGCCGCAGCAAAGCGGCTCCAGAGGCTCCGTGACAGCTCCTACTAGGCCCAGCATGAATCATGGGAATTTTTCCATGGGATTTTCATGTTTTTTGATGGGATTTTATGTATATTTAATGGGGATTTAATGGGATTCAATGGCATTTATTGGGATTTAAGGGGATGTTCTTGGGATTTTAAAAGGATTTCATGCTCATTTCATGGTGATTTAATGGTATAGTTGTACACCATTAGCTTCTAAAGTTTTGTGGCAAACATTGGCAAACAACTTTTCATTTTTTGGGGGATACGCTGTATTGCATTTGTAGCCATCCCAAAAATATGCTCGTCATGTCAACCCATCGTCAGCTCCTGTCCTAAGCACCTCCACCATCTCGCTGATGATCTGAGTGGTCGATAAACGCACGTCTTTCCTCGAAATGGAGAAAGCCGAAGTCTGATGGTTTTTACAATTTCAAAACACACCAAAATGGACAGCAAAATATGAGACTTTGCTTGTATGCCCCCGTGTTTGCTACATAGATCCATTCCCATTCCAACTCCCGTATTGTGCCAAGCAGAAGCCAGTCCTCTTCTCTGACAGCAAAGAACTCCATTCATTCAGGACGAGATCATAGTGTCCATGCGCTTTCCACAAGCGTGCTAGCATGTCCTTATGGCAGAAGGTTACACTGGCAGAGGCATGAAAACTTGATGCGGATATGGGAGATCATGGGGGAAACTTGGCCATAAGTGCCATAAGTGCCATTTGGCTTTGTCTGAAAATAGGCTACCCCAAACATCCACTGAGCAATCATCAGTATCCATCCGTATCCGATTTTGAGGCAAAGCCACTTCTGCAACTTTTTGTGGCAAAATTGAAGCCGCTTCAAACTGGTCAAATGCTGCCAATGTACTAATCTCCCTCGCTGCCGCAAAAAGCCTGGCACGGACTCGCGATGACAAGCAACAGACAATGAGTCAAGGCAAAGAACATTGGCATTTTCCATGCAATTGGTATTTCAGAGGGATGGTTCATAGCAACTCTACACATTTCAACCGCTATCAAAAACTTGGATCATGTTTAAAATCATGGAAGATCATGGAAGATCCCAGTTTTCATGCCTTCACAGTCTTCCACTCTACATCGAACTCCACGCTCCAGCACTTCGGTGAGGCGAAGATCATCCTGGCATCATTCATGGCCCTTGCAAACAATCACCAAAGTTGGGGATGCTTGGAGGCAAGAGATAGGGCATGGTAGGGCTACACGATCCCATTCGATCTTCTGATGTGATGGGCGTAATGATCTTGCCATGGCCCCAAGTTGCAAGATCCTTCAATGTCGTCAGAACCGATTTGACCCAGCTTGATCAAAACTGCAGGGTGCTCGTTGGCTGAATTCTATCCAAACCTCATTGAAAGCATTCTCACAAACTCTGCTGCGGTTTCAGTACTCAACGCTCCCTGGGTTTGAGTACTGTAGGCGCCTCATCTGTTTCAAGCAGGAGTTTCAACAGCCTCCGCTCCAAGCCAGGCGCTTGGAAAACTGACCAGACGGTGGTCCCCCGAAAGAGGCTAGTCAATTCGGATCATCCCATTTGTTGGGATGATGTAAAATAAACATAAATAAACAACTATTTGAAATATTTGAAACAACCACATCTACATATCCAGTTGGAGACCCCCCAGGGTTTGGTGGGTTTGCACTCCCCATGGTTTGGACTTGTGTTTTTACTACAGCAAACCGTTGGTTTGAGGCTCGGCAAAAGCGGCTAAGCCACAGGGTGTCAATCGCTCTCTGCAAGGCTGGCTGCACTGCGCCCTGCAAATGAGGCAGGTGGCCAACCCTAGGTTCTATAATGGGTGTGTCTGAAAATGGGTGATTTAATATGATTTAATCCCCAAATGATGGCAGTTTTAATCGTGCAAATGATGATCATCATGATCATCGCTGGGATCCTCAGGTCTGGTGTTTAGTTGAGAGGTTCCATTCAACAGCTGTTTTGACACATCACTTTCTGGGGAGGACCACTGCAACTAAGCAAAGCATGAATCTTTGAAGATCTCCACAGAAACTTTCAGATCGGACAACATATTTAGCCTCTGGTAATTTCACGTTAAAATGTTTCAAATATGTTCAGTCATACAGTAGGTAAATGTAGGTAAATCATCTAAAAATAAGGCCATATGATTTTCATCCATTGTCTGTGGCTAGCTGTGTGAAATTACCAGAAAAAGTGCGAGCAGGTGCATCCCAAATTTTCGCGGCACCTTGCCCGGCTCGGACATCCTCTCCTGAGGGGACGGCAAAAGACTCGGTACCGGGACCATTTTTTTCACTGTTTGTTCGCCAACAAAAAGATCAGTGGAAACTACCGCAGTTTTTTTTTTTCCGGAGGTGTCCTAAAAAAATGGGGTTACTTCCAAATCATCCATTTATAGATGGGATTTTAAGTTCAATAAACCATCCAGCTGTTGGGATACTCCCGTTGGTCCTGACTCAGCAAGGCTTCTCGCTGCTTCAGCAGGAAGGTTGCAGCCGCCTTGGCTGCCAGGTCAAGTGGGGTTGTTTGGCCAACCAGCCTATTCCACCCATGTCACTGTGCAATCCAGTATCTATTATTATTATTATCATTGTTATCATATTACCATTATTATCATTAATCATTAAGTATTAATTATATTAATTATTAATTATATCAATTATTATTGTTATTATTCGTATTATTAATTATTTTTAATTATTCTTATTGCATATATATATTTATTTATACATGTATTGTATATATATATATTATATTGATTATAAGTGTAGATTATCAAAGCATCACCCACAGAGTGTATCATACCAACCGGCTGCATGTGCAGGTCCTCGAAGAACCGCGATTCCTAACGTCCGTCAGCACGCGAGTTTTTTTGACTGGTTCCCAGTGGGTTGTTGCTGTGAATTGAAGGTGGAGACATTTCTGAGCTCTGTGAGACATCCAGCCCTGGGATGCACTGATGGGAGAGCGCCATAGGCTGCGGTAATGGTATTTCAACAGATGGGGATTTCCATAAATGGGGGTACCCCAATAGGTGGATGGTTTATAATGGAAAATCCCAACAAAAAATGGATGAGAACTGGGGGTACCCCTATTTTAGGAAACCTCCATAATATGTATATATATATATATTAATAACAATTAATAACAGAAGCCCAGCTTTGCAGTGCACCCTTGGGGTCTTTGACTTACAGCTTCTAGGCTGCAGCCGGGTGAACAGCCCGCAGCTGTCGAAGTCGGAAATTGGCACAGAGAGCTGCCATAATATCCAGCATTTGGATGCATTTGGAGCATATGCACATTGGATCGCATTTCGCATTGCACCGCTTCGGGTGTTTTCTCCGTAAAGCTGCGGTGGTTTGCCGTCAAAATCTATATGGGACTGCTCCATGGGGTACCATCATATCAAATGTGTCCTTTGGCATTTGGGACCCACCGCAGCGCTGCAGGTTGCACATTGGTCCACCAAAACCACATTGCGGCAAAGGGAGCACTTTATCATAGCCAGGCCACTTTTCCTATTGCTTCCCGCTCTCTGCAATCAGAGAGCTACTGCCAACGGTAGACTGGCGAACAACAGGCAAGTGTGCAGCTGAATATCAATCCAGTTAAAAGCAGCTAGAAGTCTTACTGTCACAACTTTCAACAGCAGGCCTTGCAAGCCATGCTGCACGCTTGCTCTGTTTAAAAATAGTTGCAATCGCTTTAGTCACAACACAGATATTCGTGGATTTTCTCTGTTAAAGCCTCCTTAAAAGGCTCACAATGGTTGCAGATGTGCAGTAATCATCATCCTTCAGGTTTCTTTGGGGATATGGGATACTGATGATACTGATGTTTACCAGGCTTTAGGTTTCCGACTCGGCGTTTTCCTCATTCTCTCATCCTTTTCAGCCAGAATCTCATGGAATCCCCTCCTCGAACCGAAGGATGATTCATGGCCAGACTCGGCCGGCGTCCGACGAGACAACGAGACCAGACGAGTCGCAGCTTGCGTCTGCAGATTAACCGGTTCCACCTCCTGAGGACCAGGGTGACCAGGCTGGTTGTGGATCAGTTCAATGATACCCTCCAGATCCTCCAGTGTCATCAAACATATGGCAAGCTGGGAAATCCCCAAACTTGGCATTTGAACGGAAAGAAACATAAGAAACATCGAAGTAAGGTCAGGTGATTTTCCATCGCCATCTCTACGATCACCAGCGACCATGTCATGAAAGTCAAGAGGCCATTGATTTAATGAGGAGATTGTAAAGGATCAATGGTCTGTGGGCCTCAAATGAGCCTACCACTGCCTTTATCTTCACAAGTGTTTTGGGCGTTTACCAAAATTGGCTATGGGTTGCAATACTAAAGAGCACTCATAAACTCTAAAATTAATAGTTAAATTTGGATGAATATGGTACACCTATATTCATGTAATGATATTCCAGAAATGCGAGCTGAAGCCGAGCACCCTGCCTCTCATCATGGCCATAAATTCCTCAAAGTCAATCATGCCGTCTCCGTTGCCTGATTGGGATCATCGACATAATCTTTTTGGCTGCCATTGGCTGCCAATGAGAAGAATTGCTGTTATTTCGATATTCATTTGCTGGTGTACTGCTGTGTCTGGTAATCTGATGTAATCTGTATGACCAGCCAGTGAACCAAGTTATACCAAGTTGCTATCCACTTCCACCATCAAGTCTGCAATTGCTTTGAGTCCAAGTGCATCTTCCACTTCACTGCTCTGCAGCACCTGATGACCGCTTTGGAAAAAACTGCCCGAACAACATACCATTGTGAGATCCCCAGAAATGAAACGACAGGACTTGCAAAACACCATAAGATGTACCCAGCATCATGGATGTGACCTTTTCATACTTTTTCTATCCTTTTTCTAGGCTTTTATATAGTAATTTCATGTAATTTCAAGACTTCGATCTGCCACAATGGGACTTCCTCCTCAAGATTCCGAGAGTGTGCGAATTTACTTTGGCCCCGCCTGTTTCAACTCTTCTTTTGAGATGTGTCCGTCGCCATTTCTGTCGAAGACTCTGAAAGCTGCCCAGCAAACGTCTTCCTTCATGTATTGTTGCCTGCAGCAACCCCAACCCCTTTGGGCCTTAAGAAACTACCTTGCAATCTAGTGAATTTTGATGTGATTAGTCAATGACTCTGACACCATGACTCTGACACCATGACTCTGACACCATGACTCTGACACCATGTTATGGAACTCCCTTAGACTGGTTGGTTCACATGGATTGGAATTCGTGGTAGTAGTAAAATTTTGATCATAGATGACACTATTGTGGGCTTGTGGCCACTGCTCAGCTTATCATTGGGAGCACTGAACTTGCTCCAGTTGCGGGCGTGAAATCCGGAATGCCACCTGCCTGTCAAGGGTGGCTGCTAGGAATTCTGTGTAATCGATCACGCCACTGCCATCTGCATCTACACCTACAGCGCAAAACTGCCACAGAAAAGGCAAACTCTTCCTGAGCCTTCCTGCTAGAAACGCATCTCTTCAGGTCAACAAATTGTGTGTCTGAGTGTACCCTCTAGTTATTTAACATAGCCATGTTTCTTATGGCCCATTTAGTTCGATGGTTTACCTATTAAAAAATGGTGATTTTAACCATGGCTATGTTAAATAACCAGATGGTACCCTCGCAAGGACCAGACCGTCCATGATCGCCGCAAGGTCTGGAGGTATCTCTTTCAGCCCGGCTTTTCCAAGACCATCTTTCAGCTCTGCGTGCCTAACAAGGCAGGCAATTTGGGTTGTTCCAAGGTGTTTACCCAGTAAAAATTTCACCTAGCAATGGAAAATCATGGAAAATCATGGAAAATCATGGAAAATCATGGAAAATCATCTATTTATGGATGATTCTCCCAGATTTCCCATTCAAAGTTTGGATTTTCTAGCCATGGAAAAGCCATGTTAATTACCAGAGGGCAAAAACTTGAATTGCAGGCTGCTCCGGCGTCCATCTTTGGACCAAAAGATGGGATTTCGCTCAAAGTGCCACTGAGTGTGCGGCGTCAGAAGCCCATCTCCGTTCTTGTCAAGACTGGTGAAAGCTTCTCTGAGTTTCTTGATCTCGTCCTGTCAACATATTTCAGGGATGCAACTGTTGTGACTCCCTTTTTGACATGGCCGCTTCGTCCCGCTGCTGGTGGTCCCCGTCAAGCCACAAAAAACGGTCCTCGTTCAGCTGACCAGCAATGATGTGGAGTGCTGCCTTCCATGGACAGGCCGAGAGAGGGGACTTCGTTTTTATCGTCCAAAGTGGCAACCAAGCGCCAAATTCCATGCATTTTAACCTGTCATAGCCGCTATAGCCTGTGCCCAAATTGTTTTTACATCTGGCAAAATGGGACAATTGGCTGCAACATCCTCTTCAGGTTTAGGAGGACGCACTGCTCCTGTCCATCTTAAAACATCTTTGTCTGAAGCAACTGCACACATGAATCTGAAAACGGGGATAGGTCAACTTCTATGACACGATTTTTTCGGTGATTTTTTCAGCCATTTACCAGATACCCACCGAAATTTTAACATAGCTATGGAAAAGGGTCCATGTATGGATGACTATATATCTAATTACCTATTCAAAATTGAAAATGGTGATTTTTGCACACTAAGACTATCTAAAATAACCAGAGGGATGATTTTCACCAGGGTACCTGGATTTTAATCGCCAAAGCTTTTTTGTCGGCCTTCTTCAACTTGTTTTGTGACTGGAAGCCGCGCAGGTTGTCCACAAAGTTTGAACGCAAGGGCCTGGCATCCGCATAGAGATTCATGGAGGCATCCCTCTGATGAGGTCGTCAGTTGGGATCGGTTTGGGAAGCCACCTGAATGGACAAATAATCCAAATGTTCCAAAATGTTCCAAACCACCAACCATGATCATTTCTCTGGGTCCTTGCTGCGGTGAACATCCCATAAAGAGAATGGATAATCTTTACTTAATTACCCAGTTGATATTAATTTTTGGTAATCAATTGACGCCTATATCATCATATATATCATATGTCATCTATATCCAAGCGGAATCACATCCGATGACACTGAGGAAGGGACACAGCTTGCGCACGTGGTGCTTTGTTCTTGATCCACTCGTGGTTCAGGGCCTGCCTCAGTAGGGGGGAACACGTCAGGGGAGTGATTTTGCCTTTCAGTAGATTCCTTTTCCTTCAATATGCTATGTTTCATTACGTGCCTGAATAGGTGGACGTCTACACAAACACATATTTATCATCATTTATCGTCATTTATCATCATTTATCATCATTTATCATTTATCGTCATTTATCATCATCTATCATCATTTATCATCATTTATCATCATTTATCATCATTTATCATCATTTATCATCATTTATCCTCATTTATCCTCATTTATCCTCATTTATCCTCATTTATCCTCATTTATCCTCATTTATCCTCATTTATCCTCATTTATCCTCATTTATCCTCATTTATCATCATTTATCATCATTTATCATCTCATTTATCCTCATTTATCCTCATTTATCCTCATTTATCCTCATTTATCCTCATTTATCCTCATTTATCCTCATTTATCCTCATTTATCATCATTTATCATCATTTATCATCATTTATCATCATTTATCATCATTTATCATCATTTATCCTCATTTATCCTCATTTATCCTCATTTATCCTCATTTATCCTCATTTATCCTCATTTATCCTCATTTATCCTCATTTATCCTCATTTATCATCATTTATCATCATTTATCCTCATTTATCCTCATTTATCCTCATTTATCCTCATTTATCCTCATTTATCCTCATTTATCCTCATTTATCCTCATTTATCCTCATTTATCCTCATTTATCATCATTTATCATCATTTATCCTCATTTATCCTCATTTATCCTCATTTATCCTCATTTATCCTCATTTATCCTCATTTATCCTCATTTATCCTCATTTATCCTCATTTATCCTCATTTATCATCATTTATACATTTATCCACATGCACTTGATTGCACTTCGGTGCGGTCAGAACTGCTCCAAAATTCGGTCATCCCTTTTCTCGGTGCGGTGCTCAGCTGTGTAGCGATCACGTGGATTCATCTTCAGCATCCATCGGATGAGGCTTTTGGCATCATCCGACCTCGATGGGAAATCCTGGGAACCTGGGAAATCCTGGGAACCTGGCGACAAAAAACTGGTAAACACTGGTGTTTACCATAGTAAACCAGAATGTGAAACAGCTCTGAAATAGGGATGGTTTGTGGCAATGATTTACCTAATGTCTTGAACTAGCTTGATGTATCTTGCAGTTGCCCAGCTGCATACTACAATCAAATCTATCCCTGAGATTCTGACACGTTCTTCCAGTCTGCAGGATTGAAGTTGAAGTTGCCCAATCGCACCTGGCGAGTTCCGTATTGAGAACCACACAAAGAGTTTGCTTTCAGAGCAGGATACAGCTGTGGTAGAAACGCGACAGACAAGGACTTAGTTTGAGCCTTTGCAAGCACATCCGCATCTGTCTCTCCAAAGAATGGTGGGTAACCACACAGAAGCACCTCAGAAAGCAAACAAGACCACTAATATGCATCATTTGCATGAATTTGTGGGGCTCAGCTTGGTGCAAGAAACAAATTGGAGTGAAACTCGAATGAACAGAATCTGTGCCTTTCACATTCCAGGAAAAAACGATAAAAACGTGGCAACTAAGGTAAGCACGTACATGATCACACCGCAGCTCCAAATATCACACTGCTGGTCGTACTTCCCTGCCAACACCTCGCACCAAATCAAAGGTTGGCCCGCTACGGGGTTGCACTTAGAGTATCAACGTATCAACGGAGATAACCAGAGATAACCATGGGATTCTTACCCCCATCAGTTGGGACATAACCCCAAGCCTATAACTATGGTTGTACATCCAATGGGAAGCGGAACTGCACCCAAGTAGAATATCCTGAAGCAAATAGCCATACTTAACCAACACTCAGGCTGAGAAAGTAAGAAGCTCTCCAAATATCTGTTAATCCCATCCCCCTAACATTAGACACCCCCTGGAAACCATAGTTTAATAGGGAATTTACACATAGTATTACTATTGAACATCAAACTTACACATACTGAAGCTCGCTGAAGCCCAGCCTGTGGTGCGACGTAATAAGGGGTACCAGCCTTTGTGGTAAGAGCCTCAGCAACGGCACATAGCCAGTCCGGTGGGGAAACGCTGGTGCTATGTCCAAATTGCCTGGCCTGATCCGGTGTAAACTTGCACGACAATCCGAAATCGATGATCTTCAAAAAGTTCTTCTCAATCGGATCCTGGAGCGGCAGGAAGCCCGTCGTGAAATCTATACGGTAACCGACTGGTGATGTCTGGTGATGTCTGGTGATGTCTGGTATCCCAGCATCCCCAGCATCCCCAGCATCCCCAGCATCCCCATCATCCCATCGGCCGACGCACCTTGGTCATAAACAGAAAGTTCTCGGGCTTAAGATCCCGATGAGCAATCTTGTTCTCGTGCATGTAGTAGATGGCGCCTGGGCCGAAACCCAACATTTGTGGTTTCACCACAGACCCCTGGAGCAAAAGCAAGCTGACTTTCTTCCGAAAACCGTCTCTCTTCTAAATTCTCATCGCGAGTTCCCGGCGAATAATCTGCTGCATCAGAATTGCAGCTTGCACCTGCAGTCAAAGGGCCAGACAGTCAAGTTGAACTGTTGAACTCTACTTAAACATCAACCGATTTCCATAGGTTTCCATATCCACTCGTCAGTCGACAAACAATAGGATTCGGCAACACAAGTTCCATCCATTATATAATTATGTAGTAGGCATAGATATACCAGTATGAACGGAAATACGCATATTATTCACACACATAATATAGTGTAAGATAATGGATACATAATGATACAGTAATCTGATAACAACCATTGATTAATAGTATACATATAGTATACATATAGTATACATATAAAATCATATAAACAATAAGTGAACTTTCTGAACATCAACATCCACTGGGGAAAGTCTTCCTTCCCCCGCCTCGGAGAAATGTCCAGATTCGATGATCCGGTCGAAGAGCTCCCCACCAGCACAAAGCTCCATGACGAGGTAAATATTTCTGCCACAAAATGCTGACTTGTTGGGAATTGCCATGGAATTGCCATGTTTAAAAAGGGAAAACAAAAACCACCAAAATCCACCAAACATAGGGACGTTGAACCAAAGCATACCAAAGCAACATAGGGATTTGACCTTCAAAGATAGGATTTAAGCACTGAGTTTCATGGATTTTGTGGAAAAGCCACTAATGGGGAAATTAATGATACACAGCTGGATTCTGGGGATACCCACTTTACCCAATGGCTATGGATGAAAGCGACTAAAACTGTACCCTGACAACAGCTGGTTATGGATGATATGAATGTTTATCACCAGAAGGATGGTAGCAAAGGGATCACTAGATAGTGATATCTGATGATATCTGCATGTTGCAAATCCAGGTCATGGCCAGTCCTAATATCCTCGAAGGACTCATAGAGCTTGATGATGTTGGGGTGGTCCATCATCTTCATGATGGCAATCTCCTGATCTCTGACCCTTTTCTTTTTGCCCCCCGAATGACAACCGTTCTGCGTTCGAATCTGATCTCTGGCTGAACATTGGGCGCCTGCTTGAAGCGTTCGATGTTCTTCATCTGCGACTTGGAAATGGTCTTTACCGCGCGGATGGCCTGGTATGAATTGGCACATCGAGTTACAATGATTAATCGAGACGTCATGACGTCATGAATCATGCAGTTATATGCAGTTGCTTGGCCAACATAATGTGAAATTATGCGAGCATGATTTCGCATCATCGATACCCCAAAGGCCTTTGTAGAGATATTAGTTGCTTTGGAAACGGAACCATAGGATCCTTCACCAAGCTTCTTCTTGTCCTTGGAATGTTGAGTCTGTTGAATCTGAGGGCGGCTCGAAATGACATAGCTGTGAGAGCCTTTTTCTAGAGATCCAAAAATATGATTTCATGTGATGTCATAAGCGTCAGACCATCTGGTAGTGGTCTGCTATCTTTCCGGTATTCTCAATGATGAACTGTGCATAGCCGATACCACCATCCTGAGGCCACAAAAACGAGCACAGTTCGGTCGGGAAGGCCATGCAGCAAGATGCACCCCACCTTGATGTCTTTCTTGATGGTACTCGAATCCCGCTGTTTGGGCGGAGCTTTGGTCTCTGCCACAGCAGGCTTACCTGGACAGTTAAGGGAAAGTACCCAAAAAAAAACATCTTTCAGCCATACTTGGGAAAAGAAGGATGTAGACCTCGGATGACTTTGGATTCAACTTGCTTGATTCGGAGCCTGCCTTGACAACCCCCCATGTCTCTCTGCGCGGCTACACTGGTCCCCGCGCGCAAAGATCTTGAGCCCCAGTGCAGTGAGAGACAGCAGAGATTTGCTGGCAGTTGATCGTTGTTCATCGTGACACAACTCATGAGACATGATAAGAACTGTCCAAGATTGTTTCCAAGCATGCTTCCAAATATTTCATCATATTTCAACGTATTTGCAGTGCTTTCCTCAGTACCAACGGGCGTCAGTCCCAACCTCCGCGCAAAACAAATCGCCAAGTCCCCTTGCTGCATTGGCCAAGCCGACGTTGGCGGAGACGACCGCATCACCTGCCTTGGGACTCCATCGTTGTCCAACAGTTTTTGGGACCAAGCCTGATAATTTTATGCTCAACAAAAAAACATATAATATATATATATGTATATATATATATGTATATATATATGTATATATATATGTATATATATATGTGGATTCCCTCCCTGAAAGACGTCTTTGATCGATTTGACGGATCCAATCTGTTCAATGGCTGGATCTGAGAAAACATCTACGAGAAAAACATAGAACAACCATGGGTTTTACCAGGAACTACAAGTCTCTAGGTATTTCATAGGTATTTCATGGTACTTCTAAATTTTCCCATCATCCCAGGGGAATTTACATCCCCCAGCAGTTGCTGAACCAGCGGCGCGCAGTCGGGCCTCCGAGGGTTGCTTCTCTTGCAGTCGGGCGCGCACAAAGTCGCTGATGTCACAGGGCCTTTTTGGCTGAGAAGGCTCCATCCCTTTGAGCTGCAAATTATGACCCCGGAAAAAATCGAGATTTAAACATAGGCACATCTGAATTATGTATATCTGATTATCAACATATTGTAGAATATACATATATATATACACATATATATATATACACATATATATATACATATATATATACATAATTATATATATATATACATATATATATGATACATGTATAATTTATGTATAAGATACTGGTTTCACCATGTTTCAACCTCAGAATATGAGTTGTTGATATGTTGAAATCACCAATGGTGACCTAGGCCTCCGGCTCTGGAGCGCCGTCAACAGGATTCCTGCAGGCCATGCGCTGAAAATTCACGGCTGAACCTCCTGCCTCAACTGATGTTCAAAACAAAAGTATTCAAACACGCGCTACCTGTAGCATATCTAGATAGCATATCTACGTATATATATATATATATAATGATTTACATCTCGGGTGTAGCCGCGTAGCCGAGTCTGTCCTCATCTCGGGAGGCTTCCAATCATCAGGAAGATATCGACCTTGAAAGCTCCCATCCCAGAAAATCTGCACCGAGATGGCTCCATTTGACCAGTGGCCAGTGGTGAAAGGAATGTAAGCCCAGTGGCGCCAAAAAAGTAGTACATGCTCAACGCTGAAGTGAGTGGAGTACCTGCCAAGAAACTCGAGAGTTTTGCGAAACTAAGCGCGAAGCTTTGAAATGCAGCGCATGATTTGTGCTGCAGTGCTCTTGGTGGGCGCATGAAATGCTGAAATGCCTTCAGAAACTGCAAATCTCTGAAGAGGGCCTGAACATGAAGGAAGCGGCAGCTTGTGCCACCCAAGCTCCAAGGTCGCGATTCAGTGACTGATGGTTGTGACCAACATGGGCTCCCTGCCCATCCAGCCATAGCGTGAAAGCGCCCCAGCTCTACTTGTCGTTCAGGGTCCTCGGGACCTTCAGCTTTGTCAATGCTCAATGCTGATCCTGATCCTATCCGACACAACTCATCAATGTTAAATGTTAGAGTGTATGGTATCATGTATCATAATGTATCATAATGTATCATAATGTATCATAATGTATCATACAGTAAATATATCATATATCAGACTCATAATGTATCACAATGATATATCCTGCAAAGCTCCAAAAAAACTTCACAGCATCCTTTGCAGCATCCTCTCAGCATCTCGACATCCAACTTTGAGTCTCAGGCCAAAGGTTGCATTGATCAAGTCCAAGGCATCATTGGTTCTGACCTCGCAGGTCTCCAGCTGCTGGCTGTTTATGTTGAACCCAAGAGACCAAGAAGATGAGTCGATTTGCAAAGTTACAGTTACACCAAATTGTGATAAATTGTGAGTGTAATTTCTACTCATATCACAACAGAGCTGATTCTTAGTCCGACAGGTGCATCCACAGGGCACCGTGGATAGTTGTCATTTTCACTGGCTATGGCGTCGCCCTTCCCTGAACTCATCGGAGCAGCATGCGAACTTGTATCTTTTATTATTCCTTACCCAAGATTCAGCGATTTGGATCGATTTGGCACTTCTCAAAGACACTCAGAAACCCAGATTGGAACCATTTGGAACTCCACTATCTCCATGCCTGAAGCAGCAGCTCTTTCACCTTCAGATCTCAGATCTAGTTCAACTGTTGAGGTTTTGCAAAGGACCAAGAAGAATTGGGATGTATTGGGATGTAACAAGCAAAACATGGGAAGATCTCTAACTAAACCACGTTTAGCCTTGGACTTCAGGAAATTCATGGCCTCAAATATACCAACATCTTACAGTTTACATACAGTTTACATGTCCTTTACATGTCCTTTACATGGACCGTGTCACCAGTGAATCACCAGCCGGCCACCCGGCCTGGCGTTCGAAAGGGATGGGCTTGAGACAGGTCACCGAGGTCTCGAGCGCCACCAGGAATCGACCGCTGGCGTCTGACATGGCCGTTGTGGTTCCCTGGCGGCACGGCCCCGGCCCTGCCTGTGACGGATCGAACATGGGATGATTACCCCCTTAAGTTGGGAAACAAGGGAAACAACTGATATATGACATTATATGACTATGGCATATTATGGCTGTATAATATTGTATGTATATAATATATATATATATTTATACTGTACTGTATGTAATCACAGCTGGAACTGCAAGCCCAAGTATGACAAGTTCTCTAGTGTCCCCTCTTCCACTTGTTCTCCCCTAAATTCTCAGACAAAAAGCAGCAAAATTCCTCTTGCGCACCGTTCTCAAAGCTCCAAGCCTCCAATGTCAAGGACTGACCTCAGCTGTGAATCTGCCAAAAAAAAACCAGAAGTTGCGGAAGCGGCAGAGGCTACATTCTCAGAAGCAAGTGACAACCCAAGTGACCTGAGCACGTTGCATTTCTTTTGGTCCTGAACGCTGAATACGTCAAGCTGTCCCAAGCCTGAACTGCCAAAGACCTTCAGCGCACTGGAGGTCCATGAAACACTCTTCTGAGGTCATTGCTGTGTTTTTCTGTTCGTTCATGTCCAAAGATTCTGGTATTAAACTATATTATATAAAATTATTTAAAATTAAACTGGTATTAGTCAAAATCTCAGAAACCTCAACTGATCAATTTCTTTAGCGTGAACAAGTGAACAATCCAAGTTTGCGTGTACCCAATTCTGACTCGTACGTACATTGACAGCCAGCAGCATACGTTTTTTCAAGCTTGTCACTGTTGCATCGTCGAGTCGTCCAGTCGTCGAGTCTACAGCTAAGACCCTATGGTGAAAATCTCAACCCTTAAGGATGAGATGGCATCATATGGGTCTGTCTGAAACACCCAGAAATTTCATGGTTTCACCTCATTGTCCCTATTCAAACAGTCATTTTGTAGTCCCCATTTTCAAACAAACCCACATATCAAAGATCGGTGGCTTCGGAAGATGTGAACGCTCACCGAGGCGCTATTGCCAATATCGGCAATGGGTATTGGTCATGGGCCACTGGTTGCACAACAAACATGGCATGGCTGATTTTCAAAATCACTGAAAGCTGCGATTTTTCATGGCATTTCATATATTTCATGGCTTTACTATGCTTTACTATGCTTTACTATGCTTTAGTACCACCCAAAGCCGCGTGTTTTCACGGCTTTTTAATTTTTGCCCTTCCCGCATCTTCCCGCCCTCGGAAGCGTCAGATCCGCAGCAAATCCTCCAAGGTCGGTGAGCGACTTGCTGCGGGCAGCTCCCAAGTTTGGCGGAGGTCATCCAGGACCTTCTCAACCGGCTCCTGCGAGGAAAATGGTGTCGAAACATGGAGTATACCATGATATACTGGGTATATCTGGTGCAATTTTTTGGGAAACTGATGATAAACATGATAAACTGATAAACCATCCAGTTTGGGTTTTCTCCCAAAATATTCGGACAATCTCACATGGAAACAGTAGAAACTTCGTCCCCACTGATTCTGCGCCAGTTCTATCTGAGAAGCACAAGTAGAATAGTCGGAACTTTAACAATGCTGCAGAATTGATAAGAATTGTATCAATGGTTGGGTTTAACGTGTGCTCATCCTTTTTCATACAACTTTTGCCCAACATAAACTGGTTTCCCAGGGTTTCACGCAACATGTCCACCAATTCCTGGATGGTCCGCTCCTTCCCCGCCAGTGACAGAAAGCTCGCCACTCGCTTCAGTGCCACGCGGATGCATTTGCGAAACCTGAACCATCAGAAGTTATACAAACTCCAGAATTTCATATATGTTCTGCCCCTGTGTGATGTGTACCCAAGTTGAATGTATATATATATATATAGATAGATAGATAGATAGATAGATAGATAGATAGATAGATATACAGTATATATATATGTATACATCCTGGTGAAATGTATTGAATCTATTCATGCATGGAATCGGGGTCTTTGATTTTGAAGCCCCACAAAGCTTCGCTGTGACTCAGTGTCGGGCTCCAAGACTGAGTACTTCTTGGAGCACCACTCCTGCGGTGATCCCAGTCCATCAAACACATTCTCCCACGACCCCAAAAAGATGATTGAATGATACTAAATGCAACAGCCAGGGTTTCTAAGTTACGGGTATCGAATATTCAATATATATATATATTTATAATCATATAATCATACAATAATAGAAGATTTTTCCATCATATATATATATATATATTATATTCAATAATAGAATACCCAGTGGAATATTCCATCAGGGTGATTTTCCACACCAGCTCCTGATGCATCGCCACCACCGCG